ATCTTATTAGAACCGTTTCAGTAAGCTGATTCGAATGATGATGGTTTCATCAAATTCTGTCTAGTGGTTCAAGAGTTATGGTCATTTTTGTAGGTTAACAATATTAAAAAAAAAAAGTTTGCTAATTTACACTACAAATGATTATTACCTGTAGTAAAATTATATTAAAATTTTGCTTATGAACCTGCTTTTAAAACTCTAAATAAAAAAATTTCTTGCAAAATTTTACTATAAATCATGCTAAACCCTAATCTAATATAAGCTTTGGGCTCTAACTCTAAAGTTCAAAAAAATATATATTATACTATACTAATTAAACTACCTTCATTTTATTGTACCTTCTATGTAAAATATCTGGGTATTTTGTATAGCATAAATTTTTTTCTCATATATAATACCCAGGTATTTTATAAATTTTGAATAATAAATTATATTTAAGACCCAGATATTTTATATAAAATATTTTGATTATATACAATTTATGCTTGAAATTAAAAGTTTGTGATTTGTGGCATTAATCAGAATTGTATGCTTAATATTTTTTATTTTTTTTAAAAAAAAAATTTTTAATACTACTATAGTTGGAATAGTAATATAAGTAGCATATATGTATTTATTTTTACATAATATATATGTTGTTTTCTATACAATAGTGAATGTTTGACTAACATCAACATTTAATTTTATTAAAAAAAAAAACACATTTTGTATTTGAAATATTTCAATACAGATATTAATGAAGTTTGTAATCTTATTATATTTAAAATAATTAATGTATTTATCAGAAATAGACTTTTTAAATCATTATTCATACAGCTTTACTAAAATTTATTATTCAAACTTGAGCTGATAAATCTAAATCTTATTAGAATTCTGCAAGTACTAAACAGAATGCTATAAAGATATAGCATAATGCTTAGCATATACAGAACCTAGAACTAATATTTTGGATAAATGCTACTAGAAAAAAATAAAACATCAGACATTCAGACTTATCATTTATTATTTACAAGATTAAAAAAAATATGATCTTGTATTATATATATTATTATCAATTTTTAAGAACTGAATTTGGTAAATAATAAATAGTAAACCTAAAAGTCTGATGGCTTACTTTCTCTTAAATAAAAATTATTTACCAATATTTATTAAATGCCTATTGTTCAAATATATTGTAGTAACTAATTCCAATCTTGAATAATATTGGCATCCTCATTTTTTTTATAATAATCAATATATACAAAAGAGCTTTTATGTATATTATTATCTTTATCATTATAATTGACTGCTTTATTATCTTTATTGTCTTTTTCATTATTGTCTTTACTATCTTCTTCTTCACTGTCTTCCTCTTTACTGTCTTTCTCTTTACCATTTTCTTCTTCATTGTCTTCACTATTTTTTTTACCATTTTCTTTTTCATTATCACTAGTTGTTTCAGCTTGATTTTCAATTTCTCTTTCTAGATTTATTTGATTATTAATTCGAGAAAAGTCAAGAATTAAATCATTTTCAGTTTTATTTATCACATTTAAAATTTTACAACATTTAAAAATTTTCTAATCAAGTTGAGATTAACAGATTTTTAAGCTTTACTAATTCAACTTGCAACTAAATCATAAGATGGATGTTTTGTTTTATGCAAATATGTAAATTTCTTGATACTCTTATTAAACTACTAGTTATATAAGTAGTAAAGCTATTTATATTAGAAAAACAAAAAATTAAGTAAAGATTAAAGATGCAGATATTAGAATATAAAATAACATATTGTATAGCTGTATATGGATAGCTATCTAATTTTTATATACTGCAAAAAAATACTATCCTTAATCTAAAAAATGTTTGCATTTCAAATAAAATCAAATAAAATAAAAATTACCTTTGATTTAAATGACTTGTTTATAGAAACATCAAGAGGTTGTAGATGGAATATTAAACCATAAAGAATTATTGCAAGGTTAGTATTTTTTTCTTGAAAATGTGTTTTATATAATTTAGTATGTGACTAGCAAATGCATCTATAATAAAAAGTAAATATGAATTATTGCCATATTGTGCTTATTGACTTCAAATATTCTTTATCCACCATACTATTTCATCTTTATTCATTTATTCTAAAGGGTTTGCATGTACAATAATATTATTAGAAAATTTTTCACAAGGTACTTTGACTAGTTTAAAAATAATTAGAGATGAAAGCTTTGTACTATTAGCTAAACAAGCTAAAACAACAGTAAACATTAAATGTTCATGTCTAGTTAATGTGATTAATATAGTTTTGGTTCTTTTTTCTTCAATTGTAATAGCATTTGTTATATTAAAAGATATAGCAGTTTTATTTATATTGCAAATTAAAGATAAAGGATAATTATAACTATAATGTTTGTGAAGTATAAGGAATAAAAATTTGCTTTGTTCTTTATTATAAGTTTCTGAAAGATGTTGAGCAGTAGTTGTATGTTTACAGTTAACCAAATTATATCATGATATAAATCTGTCTATCTATTTTTAGAAAAATTTATGATTTTTAATTCTGTGAAACTAGCTTTAGTAGCAAGAAGTAGTAGCAAAAAACAAGCTTTTGCTTAAATTATATAGCAACTAACAGTCTTTTGCTGAAATCAAGTCTTATAAAACTATTTAAATAACTTAATTTCAAGTTCAGAATACTTAGGTTTAGTGCTAGGTGCTAACTTTTAAACATATAGAACAACTTTTATAAGCTTTTGTTTTTTACTAATCCATTCTCTAAGTTGCTTTAGTTTTATTTTAAATTTATCAGCTGTTAAACACTTGTTATGCCCTTGTTTATAGTAAGTTATGATTATTAATTTTTCATATGCTGACCACTATTGCTTTTTTTTTTTGTCTCTTGGGTGTGACAAGCTTTAAAATTTCTATAAACTATTTTGATTCTTAGTTTAGTAAAAATCCTTGGTGCCTATAATTAAACTTATACTAAATTTTTTTTTTTAATAAATTAGTTTTTATTAAAGTTTTTTTTAAAAAAAAATTATTCTGTTTACAAATCTTATTCATAATGCAATTATTTTTATACAGATTACTTTTGCCAATTATTCTTAATGTAGTAAAGAGTAAAAATCTCAATAGCAATAAGATCTAAGTGTCTTTGAAATCTTACTAATTTTAGAATACAACTGATTGGAAATCTAACTATTAATAAATTTAAAAATTATACTTTTATTGCATATAAAATTAATTTGGATATCTCAAAGTGTTAATTACAAGATAAATAACAAAATCTAGATTTGGTTTTTGTATGATTAACCTTTTATAATAACAAAATACATACTATAAGCTGTCTAATAAATTTTTCTAAGTTTCAAAAGTTCAAGCACTACTATTATAACAGAAGTTACTTGTAGTTCTTGCTGGTTTATATATCTGTTATCTTTGTAAATATTAGTATTGTCACTATTGTTTTTATAGCTATTGCTGCTGCTATTGCTCTTATAGCTCTTGTTGCTACTCTGTTGCTCTTGTTATTGCTGCTTCTGTTGGTTTTTTTTAGTCAATTTTCTGCTAAGCATTCTTAAATATTATTATTTTATTAAAGTATTTCTTCTATTAAAAATACTTTAAATTTTATATACTTTCTATTTAATTTTTTAAAAAAAATAGACAAGAAATTACTAGATCTGTATATATATACAAGATCACACTGCTATTTTTTATAATTAGGTTATATTATTTAAAATTCTTGTTTTGTAAATGTCTAAGACAAAGAATTTATTTAATTTGTCTTGCAATTGCAAGATTATGTATAATGATAGAATTCTTTATATATTATATTACTTATGCAAAATACCCCTTTTACAAAATACTTCTCTTACAAAATATTTTACTACACAAAATACCTGCTACTAATCAAGATATTTCTGAGTATTTTATAAGATTTTGATTAGATATTTTGTTTTAGACCTTAGATATTTTAATCAGTACAGTATGATATATATATTTTTTTAAAATTAAAGTCACTATCTTTGAAAATTGATGTTTTTATTCAAGTATTTGAACATGAATGCCTCTAGAAGCTTCTATATACATTAGCAAAATTATAGATGCAAAATATTTCGAAAGATTTTGCATGGCACAATAATTTCGAAATATTGCGAAATAAATTTCGAAATTTTTGCGCTGTGCAAAATCTTTCGAAATATTGCGAAATAT